AAAGTTGTTTGAATTCTGTGACGGTGTTGTTGTTTTCACGATCCTTGCTCGTAGAGCTCAGTACAAAAATCGATTCCCACAGTCATGTCTCCCCAACCCAGTCATCAATTTCACCGAACTTGCGATGTTTTTTTTTGGACTAAACAACGTCGCTTTCTCACTCCGCGAGATTGTCAAATTCTTGCAGCCTTGTCTTCAACTGAAACGATGTTGTTTCCTTAGTGCCGCAGTGTAGTTGCTTTTGCAGTGGCTTTAAAACCAAAACACAACAGTGTAGACCAAGTTGCCCGCAACACTGAAATGCCACCCATGCGCCCCGTATTCAACCCACGACATTGTTTTATGTTAAATGACATCGTTTATGTGCAATTTCTCACGACATTGTTTTATATTAAACACTGTCGTTTTCTAATCCGCGGTGTTGTTGATACCTCTCGCGGCGTCGTTTTCAACTAAATGTTACCGTCCAAAATAATCATAAAATACTAGTTAATTCATTATTAACACGCCGTCAAACTCACACCCCTCGGTGCCGTTCTTAGTTAAACAACATCGTTTTCTAGTCCTGCGATGTTGTTGAGCTTCGCGACACCTTTTAATATTTCCGCGTCATCGCTTTTCTTTAATCAATGTCGGCCTTGTCGAATTTACAACCACAAATCAATTGCTCTGGTCCGGTTTGACCAGAAACATCGTTAGCTGAACTTGTTGTCCATCAAACGGTGTTGTTTTTCATTCCGCAACATTGTTCGGCTTCACGCGGCATCGTTAAATTGGCAACCTCGCTAGCTTCATAAAACTCGACACCGCTTGACATCATTGTTGAGGTGGCGATGTCGCGACTTTGCTTCACTTCAGTCCACGATGACATCGAGCTCTTGAACTAAACTCTAGCCTCACAGAGTTGTTTTTCTATTAAATGACATCGTTTTTAGTGTCGCGATAGTGTTGAACTAGCCTTATTTGCGTGACGTTTAACCCTCCGCGACATTGCTCGTCTCTCAACAGTGTCATTTTTATCCAAACAACATCGTTTTCCAGTCTCACGGTGTCGTTGAGCTTTGACCTTCGCGTCATCGTTTTACCTCTTCACGACATTGCTTGACTCCAAACGGTGTTGTTTCTCTCCTCCTTCGACAAGGAATAAAAAAACACTCCTTATCCAACAGCAACACAATTCATGCGGCCCATGACTCAAACATTGTTTTCTAGCAAGCAATGTCATTTCAAGTATTGCGGTGCCGTCAAGCTTCCTTATGGTGTCATTTAAACTCTCTGCGACTTGCTCGACTCCAAACGACATCGTTTTTGCCATGTGGTATCAAATTAAATGCCGAGACTAATTAATGCAGTATTTAATTAACCCAAAATAATTTTAAGGTGTCAACATCAGCTAGGGCTGTCCATTTGGTTTTGGTTTTTTGGTTTTAACCGAAACCAAACCAATTGGAAAGCTAATGGTTTCAGTTTTTTGGTTTTAAACCAATAAGCAACTTAATGGTTTTGGTTTGGTTAAAACCGAAAAACCAATAGAAACTATTAAGAAACCAATAAGAATAAAATTATTTATCAACAAATATATTTTTTTTTTGTTTCTTTTGACACGCATGTCAACCAATAATTTGTTATGGCCATTTACCATTATTATGATGTTTATTCTATAAAAAGGAGGGAAATAGGAATAAATATGAGTGTATGAGTACATGTTGGTTTTTTGGTTATCTAAACCAAAACCAAAACCATTAAGGCCCTTATTTGTTTTTGGCAACCAAAAACCAATAAGGGCCTTAATGGTTTTGGTTTTTGGGATTTGGTTTTTGGTTTTTGGTTTTTCGTACTTAATGATTTGGTTAACCAAACCAAACCAAATTGACAACCCTAACATCAACTTATTAAGGTTATGTTATATATCTATTAGCTTGAGTTAATTTCAAATGAAAAAGAGAAAGTGGAAGCAATGTTAGATTTCTAAACAACCATGGCCTATAGATCTATCATATACTCATATCTACAATGAAAGAAATGATGATTTCATATCTAACATGAACTTTCATTTCTACTTTCAGTTATGTTTATTATGTTGAGATGAACGATTGACCTTATAAAAGGATGAATTATTGGATGTGGTTGGATTTAGAAATACCAACCTGGAACTGTGTAGAGTGATATTATATTGGTTGAATGTGCCTCTTTTGTTGTGTTTGTCTTGTACTTGAGCTCCACTGCTCCTCTTTATGTCTCTTTTGTTCTTTCTCGTTCCCTTTCCCTTTCTAGAAAGACCCCCCCCCCCCCAATAAATTAGCTCCTCCTTCCTTTTGCAATAGGAAAGCCTTTTTATCCAATGTTTAGTTACTATGCATTTGGTAATGTAGTGAGTCTTGAGTGGTTCTTTGAAGAGGTTGTCGCCTTCCTCTTTTTAAGAGGCATCAGTATTTTCTATTGACATTTGAGCTGCAATATGGACCAACATATTGGTTGATTGAAGTTTACCATGTTGACTAAAGTTGGCCTGAGATTGACCGAAATCGGTAGGCTGAAAATGAGATTAGCTTATTCATCATGGCCCTAAGTGTGGGCTTTGTGTTTGGGATTGAACCTAACTATTTCTTTCTTTCTATGCAGATCCTTTGGTTGGCTTTGGGCCTCCAAGTCAAGATTGTATTGAAACAATTGAAGAGTCTATATAATTGTATTAGAAATTGCATTTGTACATGAATGTGAGACCAGATTATTATAACTAGGTTTGATTGTTCTATCATTCTTCTAATACTCCACCCGACCTTGTCATTGATGTTTTAGATTCGCCACTTTTAATCTTAACTAATTCAATCATGGAATCAAATAGGGGAGAACTAGAAACAATTGGTGCTTATTGACTCAACACTTCTAATCTCAACCAATCTTTCCATGTTTCCTTTTCAATCAGTCATTCTAGTTTTCTCCTTTCGTGTATTAAGTAAAGTGTTCATCCCAGACAAAATGTGGTGTCTACACATACTTAGAGTATCACAAACTTCCCATTTATTCTTCTGTAGAATGTTCTTGCTGAATGATATTTATAATTTAACCAAACTCTCTTTTTTGCCCGACTCCATCTCATGTGTATGAAGGATCTCTTTGATAATTTGGTCCTCATGGTTTGTGGCCCGAGCAAAGATCACAAAGTCATCAGCAAAGAAGAGATGTGATATTGTTGATGCTCGCAGCAAATCTAGATCCCATGGAGCTTCCCTTCTAGTTTTAGAATCAGTGATGCAAGGCCATCAACACTAAGTAAAAACAAGTGTAGGGATAGTAGGTCGCCCTCTCTGGGGACATGGATATGTCTAAAGTCGGCACATTAATGCCTTTTCACAAGAACTGAGTAAGAGACTGATGAGATTACAAGATAATTTGAACCCACCATTCCTCAAAACCCAATCTTCTCATCACTTTTACGTATACTCTCCAATCAACAAAAGATTCACCTTCGAGGCCAAACCGGAAAACCCACACATGGATCACAAGGCTTTATCCATGAGTTGGCTTCCTCTTTTGTGTCAAACAGTTTGTCCCTCTTAGTCCACAATATCTTTCCCCCCGTCATTCCCCATCAAAAGTCCAAAATTCGACCCTTGATCTTTGTGATTTATCTTATGGGATCTGGAATACTAACATCGGGTAGAGAAACTATGTTTCAGCAACATATTCGATAAGAATTTCATTTTCTGCATTGGACATAAATTGTCTTTCCAATTATCCAACTTCATTCTCACCTTTTCTTTAATCCCCGATGATCACTTTTTTTATCTCCAAATCGAACTAGGAAGGCCAATATATCTATCATTCTTATCTACCTCCTTCATAGTCAGAATCACAAACTTCCCTTCTTTTTTTGGTAGAATATACTTGTTGAATGATATTTCTTATATATGTCCATACTCACTTTTTGGTCCGAGTTCATCTCATATATATGAAGGAGCTCTTTCCGATTTTGGTTTTCTTGGTTCGTGGCCCGAGCAAAGATCACACAATCATAGCAAAGAGATGTAATATTTTTGGGGATCGCAACAATTCTGGATCCCATGGAACTTTGTTGTTGATTTTAGAATAGGTGATATAAGGCCTTCGACATAAAGTAAAAGCAAGTGTTAGGGATAGGAGGTCGCCCTCTATGACACATTTTTGCCTGTTCACAAGCACTAAGTAAGAGACTGATAAGATGCAACAAGAAAATTTGAACCCACCTTTCCTCAAAACCCAATCTTCTTTATCACTTTTACATAGACTCTCCAATTAAAATATGATTCAACATCGAGGCCAAACCAGAAAACTACACAAGGATAACAAGGCTTGATCCACGAGTTGGCAGAAGAGCAGGTGCTACTCAAGGATCTGAACCTAGGATCTATAGGTTCAAGACTAGTGGTAACTGGATCATGCCCTTGTTCGCCTTCGTTCCCTTTACTTATTAAACCTTACGGCAGATGTCCACTTAAGCAAAATTCAACAAGTTTTGTGAAACACAACTACCACAGTTTCCTCTCATCGCAAAATAATCTTGCAAATCTCTCCTTTCTAATATCCCAAGCAAAGGCATGAAAAATATGATTTTTTGTCTCGACACAAAGGCATTTTGAGTTTCATATATAAAATTTTCTACAATCGTCTTGAGTCCTATTAGCAAGAATCTTCCAAACAAGTTTGTAGATGACATGACATAAATTAATTTGCCTGAATTCCTTTAGGTGAGAAGGACGCAGTGGCGGAGCCACTCACAAACCTGGGGGTGCTTTGCAGCCCCCTTGGTGGAGCAGGAAAAAAATTCCATTTAGTTTCTTGCATTCACTTTCTTTACATTTAGTTAGTGGTTGTCCTGGAAAAGTACGGATGAGGAGCAGTCGTGGTTGTTCGGCACTGAGCGAATTACCCAAGCATCATTTTTCTTCATCCATGCAGCTTAAAGCTCGCACCGACATCCATCTCCAGCATTCTTGCATATGACAGAGTTGTTTTTTGTTAGAATATTTGACCTTTCATTCAAAAATTTGTCGCATGGCTTCTTCTCTAAAAGCATCACGAATAACATCCTTGGTGGAAAATGTCATTCCCACCTCTAATTCGGTCGTCGGATTCCACACTGGCATAGGGAAAAAGTTAGGATCTTCTTTATGAGCATATAATGGATGAGTAAGGATATATGTGTAGTATGGAGTAGGTGGCTCCCAGACCCCAACTTATTGTCTGTGTTCTCTTCCTCACTCACAGATCCCAAATTTTCTTCACTATCTTCATCGCTTTCGAATGGATAACTCGGCATCTCGTTAGTGGGATTCTCGTGACCATTATCGCCAACATCACCATCTCGATTCTTTGGAGATCGCTTGGATGCGCGAATGGTATTTTCAATGTCGCTCCATTCTTGACCCCAAGTTAGCCAGCCATCTGTCAACATTATTAACGTGATGAGGAGCATCTTCCCATGGTACCTCATCTCCCACATAGCCGCTTGCATAACTACCTCCTTTATAGTTGTTTGAATAACAACCCCATTCGTACCCTCCTGCAACACCATAAGAATGGTGGTGATAAGACGTTTCACGCCATCATTTTCGAAACTGGCTCCACTATGACCAACATCCTCAGTATGAACATACACCTCTGCAAGCCCGATCTTGTTTTCAGCTAGGAAGTACAACGTCATGTTAACCCCATCATTGTCAGGATGACGACTCCTTCGTATGTGACACCGCCTCCACCGATGTTTGGTTATCAATAAGTAATTTTACAAACTCTTGTTTGTCCCCCATACAAATCTGGTCTGCACAAATGTCATAGAGTCCTTGTCACATGAGTCTAGTCTCAATTTTCAACATACTAGATTCACCATTTTCATAACCGATCCCTTTGTGGGAGTTTGTCACCCGACCATTCCACCGAATAAGAAGTTTGAACTTTCGAAATCTACCCATGTCTACAATTTAAAATAACTTATGATCACATACAACATCCAAAACCATAATCCATCATACATTCAATATAAATATGAATATATAGCATAATTCATATTAAGCGTAATTAGTGAAGCACAAACACATAACTACTTAAGCATGACCATGCTAATTAAATTCATACATATTTTATAGTTAAAATGATGGAATGGAGTTCTGGTGTGGCAGTGGTATTTTCCGCAAATGTTGTGGAGAAGTGGGAAGTTTCTATTATGAGGTGGAGAAGAGGGAAAATGAGAGTGAAATAGAATGGGAGGGCGGTATTTTCAAATTAGAATCAGATTGGACCTTGATCTTTTTAGGACAAAGCGATCAACATGATACCTAGGCTGTTGCACTTAATCCTATCCTCGTGCCGAATAATGATCGCAGTCAAGTAAAGCAATTTAGCATGATTGCCAAGGAAAAAGCATTTTTATAGTTGATCTCTCTTGCTTCTTAAGCGATTTGTAGGATAGCTTTCTTCGAATGCGATTAAATGTAAATCGCTTTCAATATAAGCTACTTACAGTTTGATGGCTTTAAACAGAAGCGATTCAATTCAACGCATTTCTCTCCAACAATTTTAGTGTAGAACGGTTGCCATTACAAGCAATTTGGTAAAAAAAAAAAAGTGTACTTAGTAAACCAACGAATGAGGAAACTCCTGGAAATTTGACAAAAAAAAAAAAAAAAAAACGCACCGTGAATTGATGAACTCAAGCTACAATGCGCAACAGTAAATTAACCGTATCGCTGCAGACATAATGAACGCAACCAACAACAAAAAAAACTCGGTACTAAATCCACGTGTTAACTTTACAGAATCATGGATCATTCACCATTGAACAAGCCGCGCACCAACTCCACGTGTTAAGTAAAACCAAAACTAATATGCAACAAGTCAACTAGAGCATCAATCTGGTTGTAAACCCACTATAAGCTAATCTGCTTAAGCACGGATAACAAGATTGTTCTGTGAAAGTCGAGAACAAGGACACTTCTAACAACAAAATTGGATAATAAAATGTCTGCAACTAAACATTTTGAACCGCAAAGAAAGATCCAACAACAAAACACTAGCACACAAAAGGGACAACCACATAAAGATGAAAAGAGCAAGTGACGATTCACAGCCTCCTACCCCTCCTGCCTCCCTTTCTGCGAGTGCTATCGGTGGGGATCGGAGTCACATCCTCTGTTGAAAAAGGATAAAGTCAAAACAGAAGGAAAACTTCACTTCATTGAGAAAATTGAGTAACAGTGGGGAAAATGCCTTACCGATACGACCAATTTTCATGCCAGAACGTGCAAGAGCCCGAAGTGCTGACTGAGCACCAGGGCCAGGAGTCTTGGTCTTGTTTCCTCCTGTAGCTCTGAGCTTTATATGAAGAGCATTGATGCCAAGCTCCTGTTTTGCAATGTGTATTAGAATCAAGGAAATGCATAGACTACTGATACATGAAAATGAGCTCAACTATGTAGTGCTCATGTAGAAATAAAAGAGCACCAGTTTCAACAAACCTTGCATCGTTGAGCAACATCCTGTGCTGCAAGCATAGCAGCATAGGGAGATGACTCATCCCTATCTGCTTTCACCTTCATACCACCTGAACTCAAACAAAATAGCCAAATTATTAGATTGATGGCATCATACGAAGGAAGCACTTGCTAAGCGATAATGCAAATTGTCGTTCTTACTAGATTGAAAGCAAGAAGCATACCAGTAATGCGAACCAAAGTTTCTCTTCCAGAGAGATCAGTCACGTGCTAAAATAGACAATAGACATTTTGAAAATTAGAATTGTAATTGGCCAAAATAAAAATCCAGCTAGAAGAAGGCATACCGAACTTGAAACTTACAATGAAGGTGTCATTGAATGATGCGAAAATGTGAGCAGTGCCAAAAACAACCTCTCCAGGCTGCACTGCAGGTCCGAGGCTAGCAGGCTCCTCCTTCACCTCTCTAACCTTACGCTTAGACTGCAGACCAACATTCAGGGTTCAGGAAGCAATCGAAAATCCAAATTATACAACATTTGGAGGGAAACTGGAACAAAACAAATAAAAAACGCCTTCGAGCCATTTCAAAGCAGAGCAACGGAGTTGCTGACTTTCTGCGTCATCTGAAACTGGACATCCCACTCTTGCGGTTATAAACTAAAACTAATAGATTCCCAAACGAAGCTAGCTGAACCAAAATCGAAAGTAGAAGCTCCTAAACATTGGAAATAACGAACCAAATTTGCAGGCTTAACTTTGCTTTAATCTCACAGCCGGAACACCGTAGGAACAAAAGTTGAAACTCGGAATCAAACACGAATTCCAATCTCCAATCCATTTGCGATAGATAAGTAGAAGGAATCGCGCCAATCTAGAAGGCATTTTCACAGCAACCAAGGCCAAAATAGATGGGTAGATATGGAAAAGAAGAGGCTTCTCACCATGGCTGCGAGGAGAAACGAAAGTGAGTAGGCTAAGGTAGCTGTGGAGCGCTTTTCCGCCTGCAGTCCGAGGGAAAGGTTGGGTAGCAAGAGACGATGGCGAGGAAGGAAGGATGATCAAATTTATATCTAGGGTTTAGTAAAGACGAAGGGGGCTGGTTGGGGTAACCCTGTCAGGATATGGGCCCTTTATAATTAACTATGTTGGGTTAAGATTATTTTGTTTGTGGGTCATACCGAGCTTACTATATGGACCTAGGTATGTGATTTTCAGGCCCAACGTCTTTACTCTTGGTTGGAAGGCTCAACACAACAGTATTGATTGTATTTTTATGCAGGAAAACAACTTAAGGGTTGGGATTTGCATTTCTAAATATTGTATTCATTGGCTAGTGGTAACTAGCATGCATAACGTAATATATATATATATATATATATACACCCCAAAAATGTTATTTAGGATAATTATAAGCACTAAAAGTACGATTTAAACTAAAAATTTTAGCAACGACATGTTCAAAATTATTAAATAAATTGTAAAAAAATCATGCACCGTGATCATCAATCAACATATTCTCCAATAATATATGATAGAGTTTTGTGTATTTTTCTCCATTTCAAATTTCCTACAACGAGAGTGAAAGTAGGAAGAATATTTTTGTCTTTACACATAAATTATTTATTTCATAAAAAATATCTACATCAAGATTTGAACGCGGGTCTCTTCATAAACTAATTACACTAAACAAATTTGTTGATTCCTTTTTGATACAAAACATAGACGAAGTTAAACTCTGAAAATCAGAGAGAACTTTTTCATCATGATTTGCAAGCCCACGAAGTCTACCGTATGTATTTTTATCGTGCTTGATACTTCTATTTTCATAGTAGAGTTTCATGTAGTTTTCTCAATTTTAAAGTTCTGCTCTCTCCTTAATTTTTGCTAAAGGTAAATTGGTAATTGGCTAACATGGAGGAAACTAATTATGTAAATTTGTATTGTATCCTTGCATTTTTCAATTTAAATTTAATTTTTGTGCTTTTTTATCATTGTTATTTTCTCTTTCTAACTTTCTCCGAAATTTTGTCCATCATGCAATAGTTTGCGCCCCTTTCACTTCCCAGTACAAGGATGCCATTGAAAATCAATCTTCATGTATCTTTTGGCACTATGGTTTTATTGTTGGGGATTTAGGCTGGTCGAGTAGAAGATTTCAACTCCAATATCAATCCATGGTGAATAGAATGGAGTTCATCAATAAATGGAGTTGCGGAAGGAGGATTAGAAATTGAACTTTTCTGGTTGAATCATATGCCTCTTGAGATAAAAATTTGGTGGTACAACGGAGAGTGACGGATATTGGATCTTTAGGTTTATGGTTTTTGCAATTGTCTTTCTATCTTAAAACAAGGAATCATTGATTGATTTATTGAAGTAGGTCGATTTTTTATTCAACCTACTGAAACTAATAGATAGAGAGTGTATAATTTTGCGCCTTATTACTTTGATCCAGTCAAAGTAATAATCAAATCATAAAATCGTATGACTTTAAGGTCCATATAAAAATGAAGACGGAATAATATTAGTAAGGAAAATCATGAATAACACAAAAGCACATAACACTAACAATGATAATTTCTCAAGGTTAATGTTAAGAGGTGATGAATCGATGATGATTAATAGGTTGATGTGAATTGATTATAGTCGATGGTGGTTAGTGTGAGAGAACTAGATGATGTTGGTGGATGAGAAGAAAAACATACATAATTTTGTAAATTCTGGGAAAAATAAGTAAAATTGACTCAAAGATTTGAATCATAAAATCCTAAGATTTTAAAAAATTTAGGATTTAAATAGTGTAGGATTTTAATGTCCATAGATTTATAGTGAAATCAGAATCGGAATAGTTAAGTAAAATCGTAAAAGTGTAGGATTTTAGGATTTAAATCGGGATTTTGACTACTCTGATTGGAGGTACCCTGATTTTTTTCGTTTGCTCTCAAGTTGTGATGGTCCCATCTTAGCTGAGTTCTTAGTATATAGTTGACTTGAATAAAAAACTCTCCATTTCTTTATGATTAGTGAAATATTGTTCCTAAAAAGAGAGCATTGAACCCTTTATATACGATTGTGAAGTTTAAGATTTAGTTTCAAACTATCTATGGGTCGTGTGGAAATTCCAGTGAGCTTTTATACTCTATCTTTCTTGACAATCAACTGACCAATAGTATTTTAACGGGGACTTAATTAGCATTATGAAAATGGGATGATCAATGATACATTTTTATATTTTATATTCTTAAATGATTATGATATCTCTCCGATGTTCGACCTATATATTCTTTCTTTATGTATCATCTCGATCGAAAGATTATCAATAAAATTAAACGGGGTGATAGACTTAAAAGTAACATAAAAATATAAATAATCAAATATGAGCATTCCGGCCAACAGGCCGGGTTATAAGCTAGTATTATTAAAGGTGAAAGCCAAAACCCATTGTTCCATTTCAAATTTCCTGCATCGAGAGTGAAAGTAGGAAGTACATTTTTGTCTTCACAACTACTTATTTCTCTCTTATTTATTCATAAAAACATATACATATGTGGATTTGAACCATGACCACTTTTAAGAGAGAGAAGCGCTACAACCAATCATGCTACATATATTTGTTCTATCCTTTAAAAGAAAAACATACACAAACCAAAAATCTCAAAAATTAGAAGACCATTTCAGCGGTTAGCTAGCAACTAAATCTCTCATAAGTACTTATATGGTGATTTGATACTTCGACTTTCATATTTTTTATTATTTTAATTGTAATTTAATATTTAATTTATATTTCAATGTATATTATTGATAGACCATTGATTGCACATGTTTTTACCCCTATTCTTGAGCCGTTTGAGATGTTGATTCTCGTGTTTTAAGACGATTTCACGCTAGGTTGTGCGTTTATGTCATATTTCAGGGCTTAGCGTGGGCATCGAGGCGAGGAAACGAGTTTCGGGTCGAAAGGAGCACGTTTGGGTTAAAGTGTGCTGGAGGAGCAAAATACCCGGCCATGAGCAGAAATACCCGGCCGGGTATTATTTGGAGCAGACCGGGGAATTTATGTTTCGGGCGTCTGAGAAGCAGAAGGGGCCCCGGTCGTGAGGCTTAAATCCCCGGTCGGGGATTCTTAGCCTTGACCGGGGATTTTCCCTTGTTACCCGACGGTGCGTTTTGAAGATACCCAGTCGTCACCTGATGACTTGATATATACACATGTTTTTATCCACCATTCCTGTACTGTTTGAGTCTCATCTCTCGTGTTTTGGGCCGATTTCACGCTAGTTTGTTCTTGTTTGTGATATTTCAGGTCCTAGTACGTGAAAGAAGGTTTGGGCACGAGTTCAGGGTCGATTGAACAAAGTTGGGGCGTTTGACTAAAAGCTGGAAAAGCCACACGGGCAGGCCTAAAAACCCACACGGCAGTGTGACCTGGCCGTGTGGCACCAAATTGCACGGGCAAGCCACACTGGCCGTGTAGGGGACCCCTTGTGGCCGTGTGGAAAGTCCAGGGAGCTCACACGGGCATGCCTAAAATCCACACGGCCGTGTGGTTTTGTCCGTGTAGCGTACCTGAAGCCACTTAAGTGAAACGCGACATTTTGCACTCACACGGGCATGCCTAAAAAGTCACACGCCCGTGTGGCCTGGCCGTGTGGTCGGGAATTTCTGGGTTTTAACCCAAATTCTAGCCAAAGGAGAGGGAATCGACATTTTGGAGCCAAAACAGAGCCCTAGAGAGAGAAAGTGCGAAGAACACCTCCTAAAAGTGGGTTTGGAGCTGGGTTTCATCAATCAAGCTTGGAAATCATCCTTGGAGTGAAGATCATCATCCCAGAGTAGATTCTTCCCATCTTGATGAGTATGACTGCTTTGTTTGCTGTTTTCCACTCTCTCTCTATGGAGTAGAACTTTCTCTCACTTGGGTAAAAAGACCCTAGTTCCATGTGTTGGGAATCTTGATTGTAATTACGTTTGGATTGTGATATTGCTTGATTATAATCGATTGAAGTGTTTTGATTGAGTCAATTGAAGTCTGATCATCTTTTATTGATTTCTGCTACAACCTGAGATAGATAGAATCTGATTAGGTTGTTAGGGCTTCTTCAATCGGTAGTAGTGAATCGATTATATGAGAGTTCGTCGATTCACTGCTTTGTACTGGAATCTAATTCCAGTAGTGGAGTTCTGTGTTCATTGCCTCAGTGTTCTATCTCGGTGAAGACTAGTCGTCTGCCGGGTAGTTTGACTGAGAGAGCTTGGTCAGCTTAAAAGATTCCAGATCTTCCGCAGTATAATCAGCAGTAAAGCAACCCAAAGTAATTACAACTGTGGCTTAACTAAGGAGCTAGGGGGACTCATTCCCGAGTGACTCTTCCTTTGATTTAGAAAACCGAATCTTTTCCTACTTTCTTACTGCTTTTAGTTAAAAAAACCACAATCAATCGAATTAGTTTGCTAGATAACAAATATTCATGGAGTAGGCAGTTGATCTAGACCCCGGGTTGATAATTAGAACTTGTCACTTTAGTACATTTCTGGACTGCGATTACACTTGGTCGCATTTTGGTGTTGTGTTTTAGCGTGTCAAGTTTTTGGCCCCGTTGCTGGGGACCCTCTAGGTTATTGGGGAAACGTGAAAGTTTGTTACTCTAGCTTTTTCTTTACTGCATTTTCTCTCTTCCACCTGTGTGCCCTCGCGGGTTGCTTTTGCTGATTGTGTGCAGGTAGTGCATGACCCGTAGCCAGTCGGGAGATTTACTACCATTAGACCAGGAGCAAGAACGGACCTGTAGGAACTTCAAGCGGGCTCTAAAGGCGCGACTAGCTGCAGAGGAGGCACTAGCACAGCTGCAAATCGCCGACGAAGAAGAGATGGGTGACCCACAGAACCATGATGTGGTCCTTCCTGAGGAGTAGACCATGGGATACTACTGGACCGCCCGAGCCGCGGACATGAAGTCGCCCATTCAGCACCCTCATGTGCTAGCGAATAACTTTGAGGTGAGAACCTCTTTATCATCACCATGCTGCGCGGTTCGGTGGTGTTTCGTGGCAAAGAGGGGGAGTGCCCCCAATCACATCTGAGGCGATTCCACGAGCTCATCGAT